AATTGGTTTATTTTTTAGGTTGTCTCTATCGAATGAATGTTATGAATGAAAAAAGACAACCATATTACTCAAATAGAAATTTATTGATTATGAAATAAAATATTTTTTGTTAACTTATGCTTTATCCTAAGAATATTATCCTGCATTTTATTACAAAAGTGGTCAGAGCATATATAGGTATATATAGATATTGTTTCTGTATATGGAATTCCTAAGCTTCTAAACCACTGTCTTCTAATTAGAAGATTTTTCGGAAATCTGTAACATATAAAAAAATCTATTAAATGTTTTACGCCTTGGTTTTTCTGATTTACTAATGCTTTTTGGCACTTAAATTTTGTCAAAGCGAAATATTTAAATTTAACCCCAACAGCTTGTTTTATTGCTACGTCTATGATTATTGTTACTTATGGAACGATCGTTGATTTTGTTTCATTTGATACATATTGCAAATATAGCACTTCTTCGGCATTGTTCAACACTTTTTTCACTGGAAAAAATCTTACTAACAAGCACGAAATCATTAAAAACGCAAAAATATTAGATTACACTACGAAACACAACAATGGCGAACTCGAATTTTCTGGAAAATGTCAAAATTTGAGCGTAAAAGTGACGCAAAACTTAAATGAACCAATCACAACACGGGGAATAGTAAATATAAACTTGAATCATTTGAGATTCAAACAAATACTCTGAATTATTTATCTGTCTTTTCTTGATCTGTGGTTTCGCGTATTATCTAACCTAAAAAACTTTTATTCAATATCGTATGATTTTTTTGAGTTTTAATGGATAATGGATGAATTAGTGTATTTACATTTACTGGAACAAGAACATTTAGAAAACGAAGAGCAAGACGATAATAATAATGTAAATAATCTTAGAGATCCATTCGTAGAATTAAGTGACGGACAATTTAGAAATATGTTTAGGTTGTCAAAAGACCTCGTTCGCTACTTTATAGAATCTATTGAGCCTTATATGAGGCCTAAGTTACGTGCAACAGATTTAAGTGTAACTAACAGAGTAAGTATCGATATTAACTTTAGTTTTTAGATAGTGAATAATGATTTATTTGTCTACAGGTTTTGGTTGCCTTACGGTTCTTCGCAAGTGGTAGTTACCAATTAGATATAGGCAGCAATACGTTTCTTCGAATTTCACAACCGTCTGTGAGTAGATGCATAAGAGAGGTTATTACAGCAGTAAATGGGCCTAATATTTTTAATGAATGGGTAAAATTCCCCAATAACTTTAATGAACTCGATACGTTACGTGTAAGGTAGGTACAAATATGAAACTTGTTTCAACCTATCTAATTTCATATATTTTTTCAGGTTCTACGAGAAATATAATATACCGGGGGTTATAGGGTGTGTGGATTGTACTCACATAGCGATATATCCCCCTAGTCATAATGACAATGAACATCCTGAACATATATATATGTAAATAGGAAGGGATACCATTCTATAAATACTGAACTGGTAAAATAATTTCTTATTAGTATTATCTTCTTTTAATAATAATTATTATCTTAGGTATGCGATACAAATTTAAAAATTTTATCTGTGAATGCATTCTTTCCTGGTAGCACCAATGATGCTTTTATTTGGAGTAATTCCAATGTACAAAGATTCTTAAGAACCTTACATGGTTTAGAACACAACGATTATTATTTACTGGGTAAGTTATGGCTTTGCCTCCTTTATATTTTACAAATTCCCATAAATTATGTTTTAGGTGATTCAGGATACCTATTACGAACGTGGCTTATGACACCATTAGAACAAGAACCAGCTCCAAACACACCAGAATACCATCATAATCAAACACATAAAACAACTAGATCCTTAATCGAGAGATGCAATGGCATGCTGAAAATGCGTTTCAGATGCCTTCTAAAGCACAGGGTATTACATTATGATCCCAAAATTGCCTCACTTATTATAAACACATGTGCTGCACTCACATAATTCATGTATAGAACATGTTCCCATGCCAGATGATAATGAAGAAAATCAATTGTTAGATTTTGGTAGGTGTCTTAAATTTTAATTGCTCATTATTTTATTAAATAATAAAATTGTATTATAGTCCTTATACTCGTATTAATTGAAACATTTCAAATTTCAGGTGTTTTTCGCATGGAAGATAATGCTGATGTGGTAGATAATATTGCTGCAGCTGTAAATCCAGAACTTACAGCTGATCGTAGAGCTCGTCGGCGACTAATTGAACTTTTTTTTAATCATTTTTTTACTGACACAATTTTTTATATTATGTATTGTTCAATAAAAGGTTTACGCTTAACAAACACTTGATATTTATTGCCTATTAGTAATGAAAAATTAAATTATTTTGGTCATTTCAAGAACATCTGGTAGGTACATTACTACAGTTTAACTAAAAATATTGGGTATTTCAACTTCTATGTTGTAACTAACTACTATAAAAGTATTCANGTGTAGTGGTTTTGTATTGGTGCGTATTGTTTAATATAGTCAAGGGCATTTATTTGAGGTTATAAATAAATTATGACGGTGAAGATTACGATGGTGAGGTGAGGATAGAGATGAGAAAGAAGATAACTATGAGGATGATCGCGGGATGAGAATGAGAGGACTCTTTTGATGTTGGTTGAAGTTTGAATGGCCCCAGTTTAATATGGCATAAGGCATGTTTTAGTCAAAATATGCTTAGTATGTTAAGAGTAAAATGTATCTATATATTATTCTTTAAATTATGGACCATAACGGTACATTTCGATTACCATGCAACTAACGATGTCGCGAATCCAAAATAACTTCCAAGAGTTGTTGCTGGACAAAAGACAAAAATGTAGTGATTGAGTTACTGCAATATTAGAAATAATAAGTTTATTTGTACTGAAACAATTTTCAAAATTTTATTTTATTGACAATACTGTTTTGGAAAAGAGATTGTATACCGAGTCGCTATAAAATTAACTCTAGTATATGACATTACTATTTGGTTTACAAGTAAGTAAATCATTTACGTATATTAAATAATGTATAGGACCTATAATTGGCCTTTAAGGCACACCATGTTTAATATTTCTTAAACCATATCAGCAGCTAATAACTGCTTTCCAATTGCCAGGGAACTACTCCTGAAGTGTTCTTCTACTGTTGTACTCTTCAAATACTCCAAACATAAACAAGCACTTCAGAAAGAAACAGATAAATATTTAAATGATTTTCAACTAACCCACTGCAAAAAAACCTCGCATTAACATCATATTTGTGTAACTCGTATAACTTGTTACGTTCTATTATAGAAATATATTAACAGCACCACCATCGTTTTAGATGCGTTATATGTCCTGCAACTTAACAAAATCCTTGCAACGTTTTTTTTTTAATGTTTTTGCTATGTAACTCAGAAGTTCTTATTATGCATCCCCCATATTATGTGGAAACGTTTATATAACTTCATTTTCGAAACATATTAACTACGTTAGCTAGGGTCATTTTTTAAATGTTAATATAAAACGTATTAAGTATTAAATATATTAATGTATCTGTCACGTTGATATTGAAAGTACTTTTTACGTTAATACAAGATCTTTTAAATACATTATAAAATAAATAACCTGGGTACATTGAGACCCCTCACACACGGATATTCTTAACCACCGTACCACAAGACTTCTACTGCTATTGATAGAACATAGGTTTTAAATGAGTGCTTGCACGATGTGGTCTTTCATAGCACTTCCATTTAAAACACTGCTCGATTTTCAATCCAGTTTGACCAGTTGTTACTTGCTCAGTTGTATTTTTATCACAACACGAGATGGATCGTAGATGCAATAATGTGGCTTGACTACACTACTACCGTCGTCGTGATAAAAAGAACCAAAGGTTTTACTGTATGCATCAAACAAATATGAAAAGGCTAAAGTCACAGAAGATAAGAAAAATTGTTTAATCTTCTGTGCTAAAGTTTTGTCCCACAGGACCGGTTTGGCTTCACTACGTACCCGACGTGACCGACAAACACAAAAGACCTAGACACCAACTTTTTGACCCTGGGTGACCACCCCAACGACTCCCCCCCCCCCCCCCCNTTCTAGCTTTTGGAATTTTTCTAAAATGTATGGGGGTATTTGTGATCTTCTGCTCTTCCTCCTTACTCTTCAAATTTTGTTTCAGATCTACTTTTACACGCATTATCCATTGCAATTTCTTCATTCTCTTTATTTTCATCTTCAAGCTCTACATGTTCCTCAATGTTACAATCTTAGATATTACCAAAATCAAAGTTGATAACATTTTGTGTTGCACAGCTATGGCTGTGATACCAACCAATCAACTGATACCACTTTAATCAGGTCTATTATATCTTCTTCACACTTGCTTAGGGGATCTTCATAGAACGGGCCACCACCTGTAGCACATGAATAATTTTTATTTCTACTCTTCTTTTTCTTCGTCCTCGATCGGATGTCTTGTCCATTGTCAAAATTAAAATATCTAATTTTTCTCTACAAAAAAAACATAATTAGTGCTTACCCATACAGCACATACATGTTCTATAGAAATGCCAAGAATATCTTGCCAGAACATTTAAATATTCGCAGAATATTCTTTTTTGATGCTTCAAATATTTTAAGTACATTCAAGGGACATTCGAAGTAGACTGTTTTATATGTTCTCAGAAGATACACAGAATGTTCCAACGAATAATCTATGCATATTCTACATATTAATTATGTATATATCTATCATGTGCACAGAATATTATATAATATATATATACAAGGTGTTTCAGACCACCCGTCCACCCCTTCTGAAATCTAGGGTATTTAATAAAATGAAAAATTCAATACCTTCTAATACTGAATGGACTATGCCAGATTGATTGGAGGTATTTTCAACTGCCGGCTTCCACCGGAAGTGGCCTATTTAGACCGGAAGTCAGTTTTTTTTAAATCGTATGGCATACTTTTTGTTACTGATCTCCATTCTACGCCGAAAACTAAGAAACTTTTGGAAAAAATGTTGGTTTCTAAATCGTCATTTTCTACCTCAAAATGCCTTTCGAAATGTAAATGTTCCCCTGAAAAGCGACACAACGAAATGAAGCACTGTACTGTATTACCAGGTAACTTAAATATGTACATTAACGAAGTTGTCTCCATTGTAAAAATTTGTTAAATTAATGGCTTTCAACTGTATATTACACTTATTTTATACTTGCGGTTTAACGAAACTTCAGCTTCAGTAGTTGCACTTTCAGATAAAGTCGAAAGCCATTAATTTAACAATTTTTTACGGTAGAAACAACCTCGCTAATGTACATATTTAGGTTACCTGATAGTACAGTACTGCGCTTCATATCTTTGTCACTTCTCAGGGGAACACTTACATTTCAGGAGGCATTTTGGAGTGGAAAGGGATTTAGAAAAATTTTTTTACAAAAGTTTCTTAGTTTTCGGCATAGAATCGAGATCAACAAGAAAAAGTATGGTATTCGATTTAAAAAAATTGACTTCCGTTTTGAATAGGCCACTACCGGTGAGAGCCGGAAGTTGAAAATACCTCCAATCGATCCGATATAGTCAATTCACTATTAGGAGCTTTTGAATTTTTCATTTTATTAGATACCCTAGATTTCAGAAGGGGTGGACAGATGATCTGAAACACTGTATATACATATTTATATTACTGTGTTCCTGAAATATGCATGTATTGAAATCTTGAAAAATATAGTGTAGTAAATTTAAAAAGTTTTAAGGATTTCCAATTAAACCAGATAATCTGAGAAAGATAACATGTTTATCATATCTGCCTTGGTTAGATCCATTTATTTGCCCATCTCCGTATGCATGGAACCCTGATGTCACAAAAAAGTTTTCACTCGTGAATAAGAGATAAATATATATTTATATTATAAAACTACATATTACACATGTATTAGACAGTAACATTATTCCTTCATTGGTTGTTTTCTTTCCTCTCCCTCTCCTTGGCTTTTACTAACCACATTTTTATGGCTTGTTCTACTTCTGCACAAGTAGTTTTTGTATGAATTTTCTAAACAGCATCTAAATATTAAATTTTTAATCAGATCATAAATAATATACATATGTTAATTCAATTTACCCATTATCGCTGATGAAATTTTCAGAATTGAAAAATAATTTTTTTACTTAAATCCAATCCAGCTGTATTTCATAGCCATTGAATTTGTTAACAATTTTACCATTACCCATTTCGTCATAGTCTTTACATTGCATCCTCCAATTTTTGACAATTCATAAACCTTGAAAAGGCATAAAATAATTTACTTTTTAATAATAAATTTTTAAAGTTGAGTTAATTCATTAATTGTAACAAATTATATATCTCACGAGTTTCAAATCAAAAGAGAACAAAAAATATATACATTTGTCTTATTATTCATGTTAACATCCTTAAGTGTAACAAGTCATGAAAAACATACATTTTTACATAGTACTAGGACCCTAATAGGTCACCATTAATAAATTAGTTTTGATAGAATTAACGATATCTTATGATGAATTTTTTTAGAGGACAATTTTTTGGAAATTATTAGAGATTATTTCGTAACAAAAATAATATAATTCTAAACCCTTAAAATATCTATAATTTTATTACAATAAAAATTAGCATACTAACATACTTACAAATTGACGGGCATTATCTTCCACTGATAAAAATTCCTCCATTTCATGTAAATCCTCTGTGGAATTTATTGGTAATTTAAATTTACTCATAACAGTAACTTCCCTTCCCTCAGTGTTATTTTCATTATTGCTTTTGCTTAATAAAAAATTAACATCTTCTGATATTTGGTCTAATTTTACATTTATAATTGATAAAGTTCTAACCAGTTGTTTAAAATTTTCTTCTAAAAGACAGATTACAATTGAAATAAAACTAAAGTATAACGATGAAGAATTACCTGATAACGTAGAAATGGCTTTATTAGGAGTGCTTCTACCTGAATTTGCTATGGCAGCTGAAAAACATTATTCTAATAAGTTACTTTACGAAAAATATGTACAATTCAAATTTTTATCTTTAGATATTACATAACACACAAAAACCAAAAAATTATATTTCTACTCTAATTACTACAAATTAACAGAATTTTATATTTTCATAACATATTGTAACCAATTATTATTAAATCATTCATAAACATTAATACTTACGTGACAAAGAGTGGAGATACCTATTTATTGGGATATTAGTTTCAGAAATATTATTTATTGCATTTTCTCCTGCAAATAAAATTTTCGCTTTAGTTTTTTATTCATTGTTTATGAATATAAGATTGAGATAAGAAAATAAAGTACAATAATTAAAATAAAAATCATACCTAGTTCAGAAAAATTGTTGGCAATTGCTATATCAGTGTGTGTAACATTTCCATCATTTATTGCTGACTGACCTGAAAGCAAAAATATACAATTTCAAAAATTAATAAACATTCAAAGTTCTATAAAAATTAAAATAAAAAGAAAATATTACTTGAAAGGACGGAGGTATTAGAAATTGAAGGCAATGTTCTCTTTGGTGTAAAACCAATTTCCATGGCAGATTCATCATCACTTTCGCTAGAATTATAAATAAATCTCTTTTTTTAATCTTACGTTTTCCCTCCACATCAGAATTGAGATCAGATGTTGTTTCAGCTTGTACTGCTTTACAGCGAGCTTTAGATAAATCATCTTAGGTAAAATAATATATATTAATAAAATTAAGTACCAAATTTTAATTAACTTACTATAAATTCCACCAATAATTCTAATTGGATATTTTGGCCAATCTGCATCAGGTTGTGTGCCTCCTGCAATAGCAGCTTTTAATTTAGTATTATTAAGTGAAGGCCAAAAACACTGTTTGTCACTACAGAGCCATTGGTCAGGCACTGCTTCCACCGTATCTTCATCCAAGAAGTGCACCACCCTCCAATACATGTTGGAAAAAAATTATAGGTACTGAAAAAGGAACCATATAATGTACAAGTTTTAGTATAAATGTAATTTATGTTTGTTTAAGACATTTCGTTAGCATATTGTATTTCAAATTGTTCATATAGATTTTTTTACACTGAATTTATTATTAATGTTCATGTACATGAATAAACGGTACAACTATAAAACCTTCATTTTTAGGAAAAGCCACAAGTTTATATAATACATCACAAACATCCCATTCTATTAATGGACCCAATTCACTTACAAAATATATTCCCAGAACAGATGAGTCACATGGTTTATTGAAAAAGGGTTGAATAGCAGAAAAAGCATTACCAATACCATACACAGCCCTGTCATTTTTCTTTGTAACAAAATTAGAAATTTTCACAATAAGTTTATTTTTTAATACACANATTCACTTACAAAATATATTCCCAGAACAAATGAGTCACATGGTTTATTGAAAAAGGGTTGAATAGCAGAAAAAGCATTACCAATACCATACACAGCCCTGTCATTTTTCTTTGTAACAAAATTAGAAATTTTCACAATAAGTTTATTTTTTAATACACAGAAATTATTGCCACAATCTTTGATATCTAACACAAAAGATTTAAATTTTACTTTTTTATACTGATTTACGAAGTCCTTTAGGACAGGTCCACCATTGTGTTCTCTAAGAATTATATAGTTTAGAGTATCTACGTCTTTATCAAAACTAACACAATCCAATTCTTTCAGTCTCTTTATGATTTGAGAAAGAGGATTTTCTGCTTTCCTACAAAGTTTTTTTAACATTTGCAAGTAATTTTCGAATGGAAATGCGCTGTATAGGTTTAAAGTACCGAATACTTTAATATCATCTGCCACATGGATTAAACCATGTATGTTATGTGACACATATTCACAACCATATATCTCAGCAAAATTTTCAACAAAGTATTCTAACAAAGAATTTGCAAAATCAAAAAGTTTATCCTTTAACTCATTACTTTCAAATATTCTAATTGCAACATGTAAACACAAGAAGTTTAAATATTTGTCATCACATAGAAAATCTTTTAATACAATAGGACCAGCATACAGAAGGAAGTAACGAAATTCTGTTGCCTTCCATCTCTTTACTTCATCTAAGGTTCGTGGTTTTCTCACAAACTCACTAGGTGTGTTATTTTTATAAGAGATATAGAGGCTTGACATATTCTGTACACTGCCAGATGATAATTTGTTTGGTGCTTTCCCAAATATCCATAAATTGACGAGCAGCTTTTTCATGACACCTAAACAGATAAGGTGCATATACTCCAAAGGAAAGTTGGTTACCATACCAAAATTTGGAATCTTTTCTAACAAAGATACACCTGTATGGTGTTTAGGTTGAGTTTTATTCAAAAAATCTATATCTGTTCTTTTTTGCTATTAATTTTAGGAAAACAGGTTCGTCCTTTAACAGTACAGGAATAATATCCAGTATGTCCTTTCAAATATGTTACAAAAGACTTTGCAGGGGCATCACAAATAATTCCTTTAATTGTAAATTGTAGCAGACGGTCATTTATTGTTATACCATTATTTACGAAATTTACTGCTTCTTTAACAAAGTCTTTTAAAAAGTCATTTGCATTTTTAGGTTTTTCATATCCATGATATACTCCTATAACTGATACTCTATCTAAATATTCAAAAAGACTACACAAAATAGGATATATTTGACTTCCAGAGCTCTTGCTTAAGGGTAGTCCATCTGTATTAATAAGAAGTTCAATTTTTTCCAGTTCTTTGTTCTGACATAACTTCATAACAGCTTGTTGTATTCCAATATATGAATAAGTTCCTGGTTCAACATTTTTAATTTCTACACATCTAGGTGTATGTAAAAAGGATCTAGAATCAGATGGCAAAATAATATCAAGAGAGAGAGTATTTAAAAGCTTTAGTAATTCACTTAGAGCAGAATTAGTAATGCGATTTTTTAATGCCCATTATTTGAGTTTACATTTAAAATCTGTTTCGATATTATTACAACTCGAAGTGTAAGTATCATTGGCTTGATGGTTTCCTTTTGAATGTTCACAAAACTGATGATTTACAAATGGTTCCTCAGTAACTAACTCTGCTCCATTATTAAATGCCGATGAACTAGCATCGATCATTTCTGATGGTTCTCGATCTACATGAGTAAAATCTGTATCAATCACTTTTTCTGGTAATTCTTGATCTATGTGAGTAACATTTCTATCACCATTCGCTACAATACTTAAAGTTTTGTTAACATAAGTGTTTACTTTTTTAAAATACGTTGAAGAATGTTTTCTCTTCATCATGACAGGACTTTTAAGAAATTGGCGGTAATGCCGGTAATTAGACATTAGTAGGGTTATGATCAGCTTCACAAATTATAGCAAATAAATACAGATGAATTAAAAATAATGCCAGTCAGACACTTATCGTTTCTTGTTATTTGTACGCATGTATAACACATAACACTCATTTTTTATCCGCCTAATTGTATAAACATTAATTAAATTTAAATTAGCTATGGCCTAAGTATGGTAAAAACTGTTCACACAGAACTTGTTGGGCCTAATCCTAATTTTAATCTCAAAATTACTCCATTATACCCAGTATAATATAAAACAATTTGCTTACCTTTTTTTTATACTCCCGTTTTTTCAATATTTCAAGTCACACAAAACCACAATATATAAAATAATAATAGTAAATAGAACCATAAATAGAAGATAGAACACATCAGTTGACATTTTACATCAGATAACGGCGAATCTCAATATAATACCAACATTACCAACTACTGCATCACAATATACCGCCAACTTGATGCAAAAAAAATAACTAAAATTTAAATTACGAGATTTTTGAAATTTTTTCTTCCAAGGAATGACATAATTGCTTGTTTAATACACTTTAATTTATGACCATAATAGCGTAGTAATGGTCGTCGTACAATGAGTCTGTATTAATAACATAATTTGATAACAAAAAAAAGTTCACTTTCATTTTTACAAATGTGGAATAAATTTTTTTGTATGTACCAACTGAAAATAAAATATTAGGTTCAGTAAATATTAATTTTTTAATAATGGAATTTCCATACATATTAAACATGTAACTTATTATACTTAATTACGTTGGTCTTAAATATATTCATATAAATGTACATAGAATATTCCTAGAATATTTTATAAAATGGCAAATTGGCGTTTGGCTTAAATATTCCCGAATAATATGCATGGGATGTTCCTAGAATATTTTATTCGAATATTCTATAAAAAGAATGTTTGGTATTTATTTAGAATATACTTAGAATATCCTGTGCTGTGTGGGACGTTTCCCTTGGTCTTCCTCGTCTTCTTTTAGCCTTTACTTTAGCTTCCCATATCCTTTCAACTTGTCTGCTATTATTCATTCGTTGTAAGTGCCCCCACCAACTCAGCTGTCGCTGTTCTATGAATTCTAATACCGATTGTACTCCTAAATATTTTCTTATTTGCTCACTTCTCATTCTATCCATTTTCGTTACTCCTCTCACTCTCCTCAGATATTTCATTTCTGTTGCTTGAATTTTACTCCTGTGTTGTCTCGTTAATATCCATGTCTCACACCCATATGTTAAAATTGGTTTATAAACTGCTTGATATACATTCATTTTAGTTTTTGTAGGTATTTCCCTCTTGTTAATGATGCTTTTATTTATACTATGGTATACTTTCATTGTATTTTCTATTCTTTTTTCTATTTCTTTGTGTTGTTTTCCTGATCCTTCTATCAATACTCCTAGATAATCAAAATATTGTACTTGTTCCAACCTCATTCCATCTATCTGATCTGTATATTTATTTTCTGTTGTTCTTCTGTTATTGCCATTGTT